TGAAACTAAAACTGACATAATTTATTTAAGCACCTTCTCTTTTAAATGGAGGTTCTTTATTTTTCGTGATTCACTATTTATGTTACCATACACCGGGCACAATTTCAGACTCCGTGCTACTACGTGAAATTTAAATAAAAACCCAGTAATACTTTGCTCAACCCGGGAAGCGAAACCAGCATTTGCTACCACTCGGCCAACGACGTAGTCAGTCAATCTTTATTTTCCAGTCTTGTATAAATGCATTATTAATATTTTGTTTTTTAAAACTTGTATCAAATATGATTCAAGGATTTTTTTTTGTCAACATCTTGTTGATCACGTGTATTTACATACAGTAAAATCATACAAAAAGAGTGATAATATTGTGAATATAAATTCAGTATTTAGCATGAAACTATTGCGTTACTGATATGATTTTATAAAATAAATTCTATAGAAATATTTCTTTATAAAAATGCAATTTATTCTAGATGTTTTTTGGGACCTAAGTTATGAATGTACAACTTAGACACAAATAAATATTTTCTACAATACTAAACTTAATTTTACTTATCCTTAGTTATATTCCAAACTATTACAGTATGTTATTATTTAATTGTGGAGAGCTGTGACAAAACAATGAAATTAGATTCTCGTAGCGCATGCCAGCAAGCCTGAACAAATCAAACATAAGTACCGAACTGTATGAATACTTATCCTGATCTCGTTAAGGCTAAGTTTCGAAAATACAAATAAAACTTGTCTCTGGGTTTCTCCAACAGTGATAAGACTTATCTTTAATTTAATATTAACTATAACCATCCACAATTCTCAGTTTCTCTCATGAAAAACATGAAACGGATACGTCACAATTCCTGAGATGTAAACAACTAAAACGAATGATAACTTTATCAAAGTACGCACAGTTACTTTACATGAATTTTGATTATATTTCGACGCTAATTATATTATTGTTGTCAGTTGATAATGACAGTGATTGCTGACCCCTTCACAGTGACGGTGTCGTAAGCGTAAACATTATTATTGTCAATTGCTAACCGGACATATCTAGAATTATTTACAATTAATAAAATATTTAAGTGAGATGAGTGAGGTCACGTATGCAGCTAGAGGGAAGATGATGGAGGGGTGTCGATATTCTGTATCATTTCGTTTGTATGTACCTATTTATTTTACATCTATGTATAATACCGCGTTAAGTGACCGAGTGAAGAGTCCCGTAGGGAAGTCCCTCTTCTAAATAGTTAATTACTATGTACCTACTATATAATTATGTTACAAACTATTTGCAAACGCCGCCACGTACATTAATCACAACAAGATACGATATAATAAAATACAAATAAATACAATATTTCTAACTGTAACAAACAATAAAATCAATTAACAACGAAACGCAATTAATTTAGAAGAATTACAAAGGAGTTCTTGATCAGGGCGTAATTACCATTAAAGCATAGGAATTTGGAAGTTCATGACAGACTTATTTATTCCCCATTCCTCATAGCATATATTGAAAATAATTATCACAATCAATGTTTATATAATCACCTCTGCAATATGATGAAATGTAAATATTAAAATACTTACGTACGTATATAAAAATTATCTATAAATTAGCACGCAATAAAAACAGTTCAAAGTTGCTAACCAAATGATAACCGTGAAATTATCGCTTTCAAACGCAATGTCGAATTATAAATCCCGTAAGAAGAAAACAAATTATTTGCTTGAACAACGGGTTGCTCTCGGCTGTTCAGTTGTAAATGCAGTAACGTAATACAAGATGAATACTTAGGTTGGGAAAACGTTTAATAATGAGAATTAATGTAATTAATGAACGCGGACGTAGACAATTTAGCAAAATTATCAAAATGTTTACGTTTAAATCTAAGAGGAGGGTGTGATGACGCAAAATAGTTAGCGATACGCTGTTATTATCATCCGAGTACTTTGAACCGTAACAATAGGATGTCCCGCGCCACCATCCGCAGATAACATGTTTAAAATTCAACGTTGATTTATTATCCCTTTGTATAATTACGGATATAAACAAAATTGAAATTCATATCTTGTTTTGATTAGCTGTGAGAAGTGCAAATATTTTACGAGCGTGATTTATAAGCCCTTACTAAAACAACTGAAAATAGCACCAAGGATTCATTGAAATAAAATTAACCGATTTCATACTGATCGTGTTTTGTTGCTGAAGCTATTGCTTGTGATATTCCGGTATTATCTGGATAATTTGATTGTAATGTTTACATCAGTACGAGGATACTGTTGTGCAGGTGATGATTATGTGTTAAGTGTAAAATCTAGAATAAGAACCTGAGCGTGGATGCTCTTCTAGACGGGACATCGAGGAAGGTGCTATAGTCTTCAGCTTCAGCAGCAGACCGTCTGCGACCGCGGCCAGCGAGCAGTTCTATCGTCGTCCAAAACGAGCCCTCGGAAGCACTGGATGGTGTTCGCTGCATCTTGGAGTAATCACAGTTGCATGTTGCCCGACCGGCGGCTTAAGGTGCAATGACTGCCGCCGCCATCATAGTTTTGCGACCACCCCACCCCCATAGATTCGACACCCAACGTGTTCCACACGCGAACATTAATCTCCTGCCTCGACACCTTTCATGGATAATTCCCGAGTATTCACTGACGACTATAGACACTTACACGACTTGTTAATAGTTCTTTTGCGAAGTTAATAGTTAATTTGCAGGTCAATGAAAGTTGTGAGTATGTTAAACCTTTTCGTTTTATCTAATGTTCAGAGTGCGTCAGGAACTTAATTACTGTTCCTCGCAACATGAAAGGTTTCATTATTAATTAATGTTTTATTTTTCTGTTCTATTTAGGCGTTTATTTTTTTTAAACAGTCTTTATCTAGTGGACACTCGGCTTAACTGCGCTACATTGGTATTCTCGATTTATCCTGGGTTGACCCGGATAGCACCAACGTCGCCGGTCGCGACCGGGTCAGCCGGATGCCTCAGCGGCCTTCGCAGACTCACGACAATTATTTTGTTTTTAGGTTAATACAAATTCTATAATAGAGCAGTGCTACGATAAAAATCAGAATGGTATGTTGTCTGTTTATATTTAACTTGTATTACAGTCAAGATCGCACAGCATACTGTCATGAAGGTATCTAAATAATGATGTTATGATGATTAGAAAGGCTGCAAAAATCACTGTGTAGCCTGTGGTGGGATATGAAAAGAAAAAAAAATACAGTCGAATTGAGAACCTTCTCCTTTTTTTTGAAGTCAGTTGAAAACAAAAAGAAAAACTTTTAAAGAAAATCTAGTTACAAATTATATACCTAATAAACTCAGGAATTCTGTCTTTATTAATTTCTTATTCTGCAAAAGCACTCTTAAGCAGTATAACGATAAGGCCCATTTTATTTATAAACCGATATTATAAAACTTAAACGATTAAACTACACATAATGCCGTTATAAATTGTTTTCTTCTTTGGCGAAATTATTGCCCAACTATTGGCAGTTGTTGCTAAGTATTCAAAGTTATCTTAGTCATGTGACACAACAATACATAATATCGCAAATACGGTTGCAATATGATCATATTTTGAGCAATGAAAACAATGACTATCACATTTAGCTTCAGTAGTTTTTAATATCAACAGTCCTGAGAATCCACAGCTGGGGTATGGACCACCTCTACAAAAGAGGGACTTGCTACAATCTCCATGCTTAGTAAGTGAGTTGAAAATCGTAGATTAAAAACATCCTGATTCTATCAGACAAGCGGCGTCTCCCTTAGCATTAGCGGGAGGAGTTAGGGTTGGTGACAGCGGTATTATACACTGCTGTCACAATACAGCATTTTAACACTCCATAAATATCCAACACTTGATTTATGAAAGCAATCGTATACCGAGTGATGTGGCGGGTAATAAAGTTCCTGTGTTTGTCGCGCGTTCAAAATAAAGACGTTATGTTACTGTAACGGTTCGTGGTCACGTGATCACCTGGCACGTGCTTATTATCAACAATGTTTACACTTACATTTTTATTATGACGTCAAGTTAATTTAGAGGTTTAATCAAGTACTCGAGTTATTGATAAAAGACATGATATGTTAAAAAAAAGTTTTACGATTGTTTTTATTCGTTTTGTTTGTTATCGGTTGCTAAGTTATGGTAATAAAGACGGTGGGTGTCGATCCCAAAGTGAAACTAAGGGTATCTATAAATATATGTAGGTATGTACATTGTTGAGCGAACGATAACGATAAGGTCGTTGCGCATGTTGCTTATGATTACAGCCCCCTCTGTGGTTTGAAACTACTTGAGCACTCCGAATCGCGTATGTGGTTACGCCGTATTGTCTACAAAGTCAAAGTCAAAGCATTTATTTATATTAATCATAATTTGGTACTTTGAAACGTCAATAAATATAAGATAAATAATAGTCTGTCAGTCAGTCCATCAGTGAAGCTAGGTGAAGCTAGGTACTCATTCCAATATGTAGATTCGAATGGAGAAGAACGAGCAAGAAGATCTATTAGTTATTCTTTTAAAAAAAGTATGTTCTTAATTTAGTGCATCTCACGATAGTCATTATACAAAAGACATATTTTTAGTTACCTTGTGTACAGATTTATACTTATTATATTTATTATTAATAAAATATGTAGATACATTAGCCAGATGACTATAACATCAAAATATCGGTTTCTTTGTCTCCATCACAAAAAATAATTAACAGATTATTAAGTACTTAATACCTCACTAATTATGTAATATTTAGTGAAACATTTAGAAACGATTTACTTTTCATTACGTAGAAAAGAGGTTAAGTGATCACAGAGGTCGCGTTCGTGGTCGGAGTCGTATCGAAGAAAACCAGATCACATAAAATACGTTCAAATCAAATAAATAAATTGGTTCACTCTTCACCTACGGAAAAGCTTTTTGACATTGATGGATGTTACGTGGGTACTGGAGGGGATAGAATCAGTTTTACTTACGCATATTGAATGATATCAGCTTGCCACCATCGCGGTAGGTTGGGCAGTTGGAATCTTTTCATATGCTTTCGACCCATTTCTGCTTCGGCTACTTCGTCTTCACCTTCAACCTTCAACGGGAAGTAAGTTATAAGCAATAGGCCAACAGATTAATAAAAATATTAAAGATACTGAAATAAACGTAGTTTCTAGAGCGATGGTGTACGTATTTTTTATTTTCTCGTATTAAGTTGAAATACTTAGATAAAATGGCGCTAAGTTTAGGAGTGGGAGGTTGTTACATCATAACATGCTACAAAATGTGGCACAGGCGACGTAGGTTGCTTACCATCAGGTAATCCGTCTGCTCGATTACCGGCTTATATAAAAAGTCGCGGAGAACCTAACGGGTTACCGGGCTCCAGCTCGACGTGGAGGAGAAGGAAGTTTTTAGTCAGTAAGAGTCTGACACTCCCTCCCACCCTACCCAGGCGGGAGCAGTCAATCGATGATTTTCCCCACTTAAAAAAAATACAATAAAAAATCATTCTCAGTACTTACTTGAATCTTTACTCTCTTATCTTTATCATCGTCATTATCACCATTGGCATTGGCATCGTCACCAATTTTTGGAGCAGGCAATTCAGCCCCTTTAGCAGCAGGCAATTCAACTATTTTCACTTCCACTTCCTTCGCTCCTGCCGGTTTTGCCGCAGGTAAATCCGCTTTATTTGCCTTGTTTGCCATATTTGTAATTTTGGAAAAATAGTGCTTTTTAAAATAAACCACTTGAAAATTTTGAATATTATTATTCAAGTAACAAAAAGGTAGGTTTAGGTACACTAAATAAATTTAACTAAACAAAATAAATTGTTACAAAAAATTTTGTAAAAAATTGTTGACATATAATTTTGGAGGCCAAACCTAAAATGACATTTTTACTTTTTTTTAAATGTTGTTAGTTGATTTTATTTATGTCTGTTACCAGTCAGTTTTATCTATGATTTTTATTTGAAAAAGAGGTTGTTCTGCTTAATTAATGTTAGAATTTTTATATAAAACTGTTGCCTGCAATTTCGTCCGCGTGGAATATGAATTTTAAAAAATAACTTTTTTTCGTTTCAGTTTTCCAAAATAAAAGTGTGTAGTGTATATTTTACTCCTTAGTACATCAGCTACCAGCCTATAAAAGTCCTGTCTAAATTAGTCCATCCATTAAAAACATTAGCCAGTACGAATAGATACTTAGACAGACAAAAATTGTAAAAAAATATATTTTAATAATGTAATGGCAATAGGCTCACCCCGTATTACATGGGACTCATAACATAAATAGTGAAAAATAGGTGTTATATTGTACAGTGGAAATAATATGCACCTCTGCCTAAACCTTCGGGGATAAAAGACGTGATGTGTGGAGTTATCCCTCCTCAAAATTTGAACCAGCGCCTTTCAATATACCGAATTGTTAGTCGAAAAGGAAAATTTTGTTAAAAGCTACTAAACTTAGATTTAGTAAGAGTAAAATAAAGTTCCAATGTTGTTTATATAGTTTATTGAATGTTATATATCTATATTATTTAATTGGATGTCCCTATTCTTATTTTTGTTGATAGCAGCCTTCCATAGGTGACGCATTTCTGGATCGGCGGGGCCCCACTCATTGTTCGGACGACAGTTCTCACGAATACGCTGCAAAATAAACACTAGTAATTAGATAATATAACTAACTTTTGATTACCTATATGAGATAAGAATATATAGCCCGCAGGGCACCTTGTGGCGAAGTGACGGGTATTAGCGACCCCGCGGACTACCATCATCTCGAGTGCTCCAGGAAGAAGTCACCGTTCCTTGAGATAAGAATATATGTATTATTATGATTTTCGGCTTAATCACGTAATTATTTAACGAGGAACTCGACTAGTTTCAAGCCATGCTAGAGGCTCCTAGTCGAGGTCCTCGTCAAATTAGTACTTAAGTCGAAAAACGTGAGAGTTAATTTAGTATGTCTGAAGAAAGACGGCCCCAAAAGGTCGGCAACGCAATTTTTACTAGTCTGGTGTTGCAGATGTCCCCGGGCGCCAATGGCCTACCTAATGTACTAATCATGAGAATTTTTTAAACCCTAAAATCCCCAAATACTTGTTAAATCAAGAAAAAAAATGTGAGAATGCCTCCTCGGCGCGTTTGCAAGCTTTGCAACCATTTGAGGCTATCGTAGTGTAAATAAAAAATTAAAATAAGAACGATATCTTTTTAAATTGGGCTAAAATTGGCAAAGCCATGTGTAACCTAATTATTATTGTTTTTTCTGTAATAATAAGATAACTGTCTATTTATAGTAACAAATGTATGTACTTATGTGTGTTAATTAACAAGCATCTGCGAAACGGCTGAATTGATTATGAAATTTCGTTAATAATTAGGTTCGGATCACGCGATGAGGCGACCTCACGTGATTGCGAACTGCGAAGTTTCATGATTCAATCAATATCGTGGTCATGAACACATCATCCTTTGTTTATTTAGTTAAAAAGAACTGTCATCATAATAAATATTAGGTATCATACTTATTAAGAATGTCAGAAGGGTTAATTTTGAATCGCACACCAAGCTGCACTACTTGTAAGCAACCACAATTCCAGCATCCTATGACAACGAGGAATTTCATCAAGGATAAAAAAATAAGTAACTTCCGAGAGTAAACGAAAAAGATCTCGAGACTAGCGCCCAACCGACCAATAATTCATTTAATCAAGAAGGTCAATGCATTTCATTACATAACTCAATCGCAAAAATAAAATCTGGATTCGCATAAAAACTCAAAATAAGAGAAAACCCACATTAATGTGTTTAGCAAAATATTTTGCACCTGTGCGTTCAGAGATACCGAGTTTATAGTAACATAGTTTGAATTTCGAATACGTTTATTTTTTCGACCGAGTTTACAACTGGCATGTTTGCACAGATAATAAAATGTGAATTAAACATAATTTATCTGTCCCGTTATTGGAGTGGATCGATTCTCAGGTCAAGAATTCGTTATTGTAGATTATTGTAGATTCGTTTAGAGTTATTGGGCATGTCTTTTTTAATACTCAGTAGTAGTACGGAGTCGGGTATAGTACACGGTGTATGACAAAAGGTTCGCCCTCTATAAAACGGACCTTATAATATAATTGGCGGTAAATGGTTTTTGAACAAACAGTTTCTATAATGAACGTAATTGTACTTACATTATATTTTAACGTACCTCAATGAGCGTTCCTTTGGATTTGAAGAGTAGTTGTATAGCGTAGATTGGGATGCAGATCACTGATACGAGAGCTACGCACCAGCCGGCTGGACCTGCTGCGTCCTTTAAGCTGTATGCTGTTATAACCTGTATGAAAAAATAATTTTAATTATAGTTTTACATTTTGGCTAAATAAGGTAGTGCTGAGTTTTGTATTCTAAGACAATAGAGGATAATAAATAAAGAATTCTCCTTCATTTTCCCTTATTACACCTAGTGTACGAATGACTCCGTCACTAAAAGTCATTTTGGGAAAGCTTTTTTTTATGGCATAAGCCGGTAAACGAGCAGACGGATCACCTGATGGTAAGCAATTGGCGTCACCCATGGACACCTGGTACACCAGAGGCGTTACAAGTGCGTTACCGGCTTTTTGGGGATTAGGAGTTTGAGGATCGTTGGGGATTCAGAGATTGGGGAGATTGGGGAAGGGGAAGGTAATTGGGCATCCGGTTACCTCACTCACACGACGAAACACAACGCAAGCGTTGCTTCACGTCGGTTTTCTGTGAGGCCGTGGTATCACTCCCGCCGAGCCGGCCCATTCGTGCCGAAGCATGACTCTCCTACACAAACCTCCCAGATTATTGGTTCAATCCAAATTTTTAAATTGGTTTTTGAAAAACAACAAGTAGCGACTTAGCTAGGGATGGGTTTTTAAAGAACCAATAGAATCACTTCATTTACTTAGCCTCAGTCAGCAGAGTTCTAATGGAAACAGCAAATCACACATTTTCACAGCACAGAGCTACACATCCTTACATATCTGGTGGAAACGCAGCCTTAAGAAGGACTAATTGCCAACCTAACTAATACAAAGATAATTTAACTTTGGATATCTAAATCTTCATATTTAATATAAACAAAACCCATGCCCTATATTTTAACAATCGCAAAGGCAGTAACTACATCAACAGACTAATCTTAACTATACCATGACCATATCAATAAAACCGACCAGCCACGTTGCTATAGGTACTAAAATAAAAATAGATCCACTGACCTCTGACCAAGAGTCCCCTAGTTAGCCGTGTGACTAGAAACAATAGACAGTTGATAAGTAAATTGAACGATAACCAAGACGGAAAATGGTTCAAACATCAGGCGACAGTATCCTTACTATTATATGCAGAAAATAACATATTTGTCAAAGAATCTATTGATTTCCTATGACAGTGATGAAATAGTTCACGGTATATCCCTTATTTATGGAATTTCTGGTGAGACTCAATGGAAAGACTGTGTGAGACAAACAAGGATTGTCTCTTTGAAACTTTTACTCATGCTGCGGTTTTACTCGGTCTCCAGGGATAAATGTTATCCTACACGTCAATTTGAATGTCATGTGGTGAAGGCACACTAGAATAGCTATAAGATGCGATTTAGGGACCATATCTACATTTGACAGAGATCAAACAGCAGCGATTTGCTAAACCTCAATCTTTTTTATTGGCGAGATTTTGGACCCCAATAGGTAGAAGGCCTTTAGTCCAGCAGTGGACTACAAAGAGACATTATTGATGACGCTGATGATTTACATCTACGTTTTAAGTAACTCCAACAAATTTACTTATATCTGTTGTATTTAGCAACTTTTCATATGTTTTTATAATAAATATCGTGAGAAATACTAAATTAAGTAAAATAGCGGGTTACTCACGTGAATATACTGAGAAAAGCTCTACTAGGAATATACAGAGAAAAGCTCGACGCCGCGCAGCTCACTGAGCTCGCTCGAGACGTCGCCTCGACCGCGCACGCTGCTCAAGAGGAAGAACCCCTCTGTGGTTCGAAACTAGTAGAGCTTTTCTCAGTATATTCATGTGAGTAACCCGCGATTTTACTTAACTTTCATATGTAACAGAAAACATAAACACACAAACAGTCATATCATACCGACTGCCCCGTTGGCCTAGTGGTCGCAAGTGTCACTTGCCCGGCGGCAAGGAGTCTCGGGTTCGATTCCCGGGATGGGCAAAGTACTACTGGGTTTTAAAAAAAAACTCAGTAGTAGCACGGAGTCTGGAATTGTGCCCGGTATATGGCAACAGGTTCACCCCCTATTACATGGGACTCATAACATAAATAGTGAAAAGTGGGTGTTACATTGTACAGTGGAATAATGTGCACCTCTGCCTATACCTTCGGGGATAAAAGACGTGATGTTATATGTTATACAGTCTTGTTATATGTCAGTGTCAACCCCCCGGGTTCATCCGCCGTGCCTTTATCCTATGTCTGCCGCAACTATTTATGTTTCTCAACTTCTTGTAAATGTCTCAAGGTTTCTGTTCTATCGTCAGAAATAAAACAATACATCCACCTAGTCTAACTTCTATAAATTCGAACGGCTGTCTTTAACCTTGTCTAAAGTTTGATAGGAACAATAGTTCTGTGTAGCAGAAAATGTAGCATCGAAATTGTCTACAGTTTTGCAGACGTATTTACT